ATTTTTTTTCGCTTCTTAAGAGACTAGCGACGATACATACCCTTGGGTTGCTTTCCCTCCATTTCCACATTGTGCTTTGCAGAGGAATGCTTTTGAAATATTTCGTCATCATCAGGACTATCGTCGTTGCCATGATTTTCACCGGTGGCAGCTGAAACGATACCCATTTCCTCGACTTTGGATATAGAAGTTGAAGAACTTTCTGTTTTCTCGCTGCTCTTTTCGAAATGAGAGTGGGGATTCGCGGCGTGAATATTCAGTTTATCCAAAGAAGACTCGCCCGGCGGTGCGGGAATTGACTTTTCTATTTCAGACTCGATTTGTGAGAGTTTTTCCTTAATTATCTCAATTTGTGTTGATTCCTCGTGCGAATGTTCCTCTTTCTTAGCGTATGCTTTTGCTTCACTAACTGCTTTTTCGCTTCTGCTTGCTTTCTGCTCCAATGTGCCTGCATGCGTTTGCTCATCTTGCATTTCCACTGGCATTTGAGTGATGGACTTTGCTGCATTCAGCTGTAAATAACTTTGCAAGCGTTGCACCAACACATCCTTTTTGCCAACAGGACTCAAACCATGCGCGCGTAGTTCAGCGCGCAACTGTGAAATTTTCAATTGTGTAAGATCGCCGCCCTCTTCAGCGAAAGAAGCATATCGTAACGAGTATGAGTAGTTATGTAATGCGCATGGATGGTTGGGTTTTCGTGATGCAAAAGTGTAATTGAAAATACATATATATGTAAAAGAAACGAAAATTAAAATGATTAACGCTTTAGTGATGGGCAATGACAGCGAGTTAGCTGTGAACAGCTGGTAGCTGGGGCTGCAGCTAAATCATCGTACCTTTTGAGCGATTTTCATCTGCTTTAAGCAATTGATTTGTATTTAAATTATGTGCTTGCATGCTTTTCGATAAAAGGCTGCTCTCTTTGGCGGTCGGGCCCGCATTTTCATTAACTGTTTTAGTTTTGCCTTTGAATGTAGTCAAAAAAGAAGAAAAAGAAAGAAAAAAGAGAAAACCAATTTTCAAAGTTGTGGGGAAATTAAAAGAAAAATGTAACTAAGTATATTAAAGGGGTGTGAAATAGCAAGTCTGTGCTGTACAATTATTGATGTGCAGGATTTTGTGTTTGTTTATTGTGAAGGAGTGCAAATTAAATGGGTAACACCAAAGTCAGAAGCTTATTAGCGGGGATAGGAAAATTAAGCGCTGTTGATAAGAATTGAATGAAATTAGGTAGTGGAAATGATTTAAACTTAGAAATAAATGTTAACGAGATAGATTGAATGCGTAGTGCGTTGGGTTTATACAAAATAAGACTATTTCAGGGAGCAATAAATTATGAGTTAATCTAAAGCATACAGTAAAAAAGTAATTTGTTATAAGCAAACATAGAAATATGCAAATGTTAATACAATATACTGAGCAGACAAATACAAGCAGTTTTGCAATAATTTGTTAACAGAGAGAAATGCTTTCGCATGGCATTTCTCATGATTTCGTAATAAAGAAGAGAAACAATCACAGTTATAAAAGTGATGGCTATGCGGTGGTTAGACCTCGCTTTAGACTCGCCTGAATACGAGTACTTCAAAATGCGACGGATGATTCCCAGCAATGCTGTTACCTATTATAATCGCATAGCGAATTTATCTTATAAGCCCTTCCGATTTCAATTACTTAGAAACTAATTTACAAAATGCCATTTCCAGATTTTCTGCTTTTAGAGTGCCTTCGGCCTTTGTGATCTTCATGTTAACTTTCAAGGTATTAGGCAGTCAGTTAGACAGCAGAGTATGTATATATATATACGCTATATTCGATATTCGAAGAATCAAGATTTCAAAAATGCCCAATATATATAAAAAAAAAGCCGAGTTAATCAAACTAGAGTGCATCTTTGGTATAAAAGTTTACTGAATAGTAGAAAAATCTTAAAGAACTCGTAAAGAAATCATTTTTCTCTTTCCAATTTTTTACAGAATTTTCTAATATGAAATTTAAAGCACACTTCTATTCTTTTACGAAATTTCGTAGGAAAATCGGTAAAGCAATGAAAATAATACTGAGATGTAAAGAATTTTATCATATTTTTTCAGAATTTTCTTTAAGAAATCGTACAGAAATTTTTTTGCGAGCTCGCGTCAATCACTTCAGATGATTTTCTTTGAAGATTGCTGAAGAAATCGTTACACAATTCGGAACAAACTTCCGATACTCTTAAAAATTTAGTTAAGATTTCGATAACTTCAGTTTGCAAGAATTTTATGATCAAATATATAGAAATTTATAAAGGATACTAGTCCTAAAAGGCTTTTATTGAACTTTTATAACATTCGATATGAACCAAACAAAAACATGTATGTAAAATAGGAAAAGGTTGAACATGGCGTATGAGCAACTTTCTTAAGTGAACACCATGGCGTATGATCAACATTTACTACTCTGGGCTTCGGGACAAAAATACAGAAAATCCGAGTGCTTACGTGAAAATGTGAAAAAGTGCATTAATATAAACTTTTCATGAGCATAGATAAAGTACTATTTCTAGTAATTTCTCATTGAATACTTACATTTTTTAATTAAATAGGTCAAGCTTTAAGTGAAAATAAAAAAGTTGAACATTTGAGCTAAGGCTTTTTGTGTGCAACAAATCGACGCGAGAGCTCTGTGTTTTTTGACTAAGAACAAATTGGTACAAAAGTGGTATGGTGAAATTTTAGGAAATTGATTGTAAAACGGATAAAACAGCAAGCACTTTAAAATAAAGAAAATGCTTAATTAAATTTGTTTTTGTTCATTTTTTATTTTCACTTTTTTTATTCAGCAACGTTCTACACAGCTTAATTAATTATTTGTACGAGTGTGACGCGCTGATTTCTCAACAACATTCAAAATAGGTTCAGGACAGAGTCACAGCCTGTGCTATGGCGGCACAATGGGCAATGGCTATTTTCGAACATCGCAAACGCGCAAGGACAAGCGGTGAGTAGTTTGACTCTTAATTAATTGTGTGTAAGAATATTAAATTATGCTATACTATGTAGCATTTACGTAAGTTATGTTTGGAGTATAATTATTTGCGCTATAAGTTTATTCATATTTATTTATAAGTATGTATGCTTATCAACAAGTTTCATCGAAAAGCACCTAAGAACCTTACGAAATAAGTTTTTAGTTCAATAACTTAATTCTTTGGAATATGTGAGAGTAATTCCTTCAAACTTCTCTCGCGTTAAATAAAACTTCAACATTTTTCAAAAGTAAAATTGTCTGCATGTTCAAGTCACTTTATTGAATTTATTGAAATTCACACAAGAAGTTCATGTAAGTAAAGAGAACTTGTGCATTTTTTTTTTTTACCGAGTTGACATGTGTTAAATGGCTGGTAAGATTGTGTGTATGTGTGTATGTGAAATGATGGCGCAGAAAGAAATTCTGTGACACAACGGACAGATACAGGAGCAGTTTTTCGTACGTACTGAAAATTTGGCCAGAAAAAGGGAAAATCATGCATACAGCTATGGTCAAAGATTTAGCAACAATACACAATATACATAGTAATTTTCATTTAAAATATGTAAAAAATAGTTTAAACGCTTGCACAAATTTCACAAAAATTAATCCGACAAAAAATAATTTCAAACTTTTTAATCAGAATTTTTAGAAAATTTCCGGTATGCAGTTTTGTAGCACATTACGTATGCACAAATCGATCTGTATACATTAGGGTGGTCCACAACCAGTAGAGTCGGAATTATAAAGCTCTCACCCCCAAGGATTGTTGTATGTATATCGAAAAAGTATACCCCTATTTTCTTATTTTGAAATCAAAAAATATTTAGTGTACACCGTAAAGGCTGCGAGATTTCACTCCTCTGTTTCTTGTGTTTAAATGGAAAAAGGGGTGACCATGGCGTATGAGCAATTTTCACTACCGCTACACCACGGCGTATGATTAACATTTGCTGCTCTAAACTGCTGCCAGAAAATCCGACTCGAATTTCAGTACAAATTCTTGAGCTTGAGCTCACTTCATCAGCGCAAAAGCTGAGTCTAAGTTAAGTTCTTTGCAAGAAGCTCAATATTTGTAGTTTTAGTTAGAAACAAATTCATAGCACGCAAAAGTCATATATGAATACAAATGCAAGTATATTGCACTATATGTATGTACTTATTTACGTATGCTGGTCTGCATTTTCAACCCGCACGTTCAAATCACATAAATATTTAGGATATTTGTTCTACTGCAAACTGGCTGGCATTCGCATATAAATTTGGCTTCTAAGTAAGTTACTTAAGAAATCGACATTTATATCTGTTGAATCTAACATTTATACGCGTCTTCAATATATTTATGTATGTATGTATGGGGTGACAAGCGTAAGCACTTTGAATTTTGCTTTCTGCACAAATAGGGGAAGTTTGGCTTTATTTTATTCGACCTTTTGTGTGAATTTTCAAACTGCAGTAAAACAGATTGTGATGGTAATATTTAGTTGCAATTGACATAATTGCTCCATAGTGTCATTTGTGTTCTTTAATGCTCAGTTGGAGTGGATTGTAAAGTTAACTATTTAAATTCGGGAGAGTGACAATCATTTGTTTAGGGCAGTATCTGACTGAACCTCAATTGCATATATGTATATACGTTAGACTGCATTACAAAAAAAAATGGCGGTTTTTCCACCGGGATTACAAAGATAATTCGGAAAAATATTAAGATTTACATGAGCTGGACCGATTTGAAAATACCTCTGAAAATGGAGTTTTCTATGAATAAAAATAGTTTCTGAAAGATGTTTTTGAAAAAATCCCTTCCGATGACAAAACAGATTAAGCACAAATATTTAAAAATCTTTTCAACGGTTGATTTATGAAAAACTTGACAAACTTTTGTTTCAAATACCCACACATCTTAATTCAACTTGGAATGACGCTCGTTCATCCTACCTTTCTCTTTCATCCTTTGAATAAGTTTATTAGCAAAGAAATCAAAAGGGTGAGAAAATACCTTTCCAATGATGCCTCACAAGTCTAAATCGGAGTAGTTTAGGTTAGTCAGTTATTCAAGTTTTTCTTATACCCGTCTTTGAAAAAGGTTAAAAAACAGCAGCAAAAATCTCATTATTACGATTCCATTGAAAATTTTTTAAAAATATTTTTGTGCGAATTTTTTAAGCTTAAACCGTTTGGTCATTTGAGAGGATTAAAAAAAAAATCTTTAAGAAACTATTTTATTCATAAAAAGTTCCATTTGCGGAGGTATTTTCAAAGAGTGAATTTGAGTCAAGTTCGCTTTTTGAGAAAATTCAGACCCAAAATTACATTTTTGACGTACATTACATAGTTATGAATGCTTATAAATTAAGAACGGAATTTCTGAAAAATTATCAGGGGAACTTAAGACTTGCTATGTCAAATTCAATGGCATTTGTCGTTAAATAAGGGAAAATACATTTTCAAACGGTCTACTATATGTGTGTCGATTAATTTCAATCATGATAGGTCAGGCACATTAGGGTGATCAAAAAAAAAATACAAACCTAAGGAATTTCTCTGAACTCTCTCTAGATTATAATCAACATTTTCTACACATTTTGAATCACTTTAGTGTAAGTTTTTTCTTTTAGCATGAATATTTTCAATCATAAAGTCCTAAAACTGCATATTTCTGATTTTTTGACTTTCATGGTCCGTAAGTATATACATTTTTGAGTCTACACCATAAGACATTTAGAGTGAGAGAATTTAATGCCCTACAAGAATATGTCAAAGCCATACTTTTGCCTCAAACCGTTCAATAGTTATAACATTTTTAATGAACAAAATTGTTTTTACATGCCATCGACATGGAAAATTTCAAATGCCCACCGACACCTTTTAAAATTGGAGTTTGAATTTTTTACAAATGGTAGAATTTACTTCTCAGTAAATAGGTCCCTTTAAGGCCATAAATTCGTTAGGTAAG